TAACATGTATCAGCAATTACATTGCTGTTTGCAATTAGATATGAACTGTTATACTTAACGTTCATAGGGTTTGTCTTGCTGTAAGGGAACGTCCAAGATATCATTAAAAAGTTAAAAAAACTTGGAATACTAGAGATTTGTGAATACCTTTTATAACTACAAGGCAGCCTGGGACTCACTGCTTTGTATTTGAACCTCAGACCTGTTTCTGACAGAACCTTAACAGAGGTCTCTGTTACCTCCTGTACTAAATCAAAATGTGATTTTGCAGCCTGATGTCAGGTACAAAGTGAGGCTCAAAGTAAATATGGGAACAAATCCAAAGCACACTCACATTTCCTTATTCTTTTTTCTCTGTTCCTTCCCAGCTAGGCTGAAATAATGTGAAACATGCAGCTGACAGAGTTAAAGATTTACAGCTGTGAGAAAGACACCAAGAAAACACACAAGCTTCTCTGAAACAGCATCTGCAGTAAAACTCCAAGTGTTTGTGCATATCCATGTAAAAATACCCTGTGCACATAGATGTATGACTGAATCAGTCATTTCCAATAAAGCAGATAGTTAGAACAATAGCCTATTTAAGTTGCATATGTTTAAATAGCTTAGAAAACAATACAAATGGATCATTTCATTATCACTGACATGCAGCAGCCATCCCTTGAGAGAGATACAGCAGCAATAGATACCACAGGGCATCTCATTTTAGGATTAAAGAGTGAAACTTTGGGGAAAAATTTACAAGAGAGAATTTGAATAGACTGAACAGGACTTAGGGACATTCAATAACCGTCAGTATTAAGGGCACTGGCTCTAAGTGTCCCTTTTGCCGGCACCTCAGCTCCAAGCCTGAGTCAGAGCAGCCCTGCCTTATCTCATGGAATTGGAGTCCCAAGTGCTGCAGTGGCATATAAAGTGAAAGAGTGGCATATAAAGTGAAGAGGATAGTCTTTGTCATTGAACAGATATGGCTCAGGGAGGGGAGAGCATCCTGCAAACAGATCTCCCCAATGTCACAGTACAGGTTCGACAACTCCCCATAAACAGTAGAGTCGGTGGTACACATGGGCAACCAGGAGAGGGTGTCTATTGGTTAGATGAAAATCTTAATAATTAGCCTCTAACCACTGGCAGAGAACTCTTTGCTCTTTAGCTCTGACTTACGGCGCCTTTCACAACTGGGGCTGCTTAGTCACGTCAGTCATAAACAGACTGTGCCCATGTGGGTGGCTATCACAAAGCCTAGCTCCTTCCTTCCTCTCCTTGCTTCCAAAGTATCCCAAAACAGGCTGCAGAAGGGGCTCCACAGTCTGAGGAATTCTGGATCCACTATTTCACATCAGCTAGTGCAAAGCCACCTTGTGCTGCAAGTCTCCTGTCCTTGCTTCTCTCTAAGACATGTATTACAGAGGATCAAGGTGGCCTCTGCCTAAAACAGCCAACAGGACACTCTGAACTATGTTCATTCATGAAAGCCCAGAGTGTTGTTATTTCATGAAGACTTACCATATTCTTCCTGTCCCTATAATAGCCCAGCATTTGGAGCAGAAGGGTCTAACCTCTCCTCTGGCATAGCTGGCAGAGTGAGGATAACAAGCACTTCATTTTTCCTTTGATTTAATCTACTCTAGTACAAATAGCTAATCACATTGCCTTTCTTCCTGGAGTTAATTAATTTTCTATTGACATATTTTGTCTGTAATTTCTGCTCTGAAAATTCTCACTTTAAGAGCCTTATAAGAGGGACATACATCTGAATCGATTTGAAACATTTTTGTGATTGGATTTCACATTTTAATGGAATAATTTTCTCCTATCCCCAAGGTAATTTGCTGAAAGATTTTCATCCTTAAACCTTTTCAGCTTAAACATTAAAAAAAGCAAATGTAACCAAGCCTAGAGAAAATATGGTGCAGGATTAACACTACTGCATCTGTTTAAAATTTCTTGTATTGAGTTGTACAACGCTCAAAGGCTGGCTGTGTTACCTGGGATGTCTTGGTTTGGTTGATCTTGCTAAAATTTTACAGTGATATCTGTCCTTGTTTTGGCAGGGTAGAGTTAATTTTCTTCCCAGTAGCTGGTATAGTGTTGTGTTTTGGATTTAGTATGAAAATAAGGTTGATAACACACTAATGTTTAGCTGTTGCTAAGCAGTGTTTACAATTAAGTCAAGGACTTTTCAGCTTCCCAGGCCCGGCCAGTGAGGAGACATGACCCTTCCGCAGGAGGTGCACAAGAGGGGACACAGCCAGGACAGCTGACCCAGACTGGCCAGAGGGATATTCCATACCATATGACATACTCAGTATATAGGCTGGGGGGGAGTTGCCCTGGGAGGGTTGCAGCTCAGGAACTAGCTGGGCATCGGTCAGCAGTTGGTGAGCAGTTGTGCTGTGCATCATTTGTTTTGTATATTATTATTAGTAGTATTGTTTTTATTATTATCATCAACATCATCATCTTCCTTTTTGGTCCTATTAAACTGTTTTTATCTCAATCTACAAGTTTTACCTTTCCCCAATTCTCTCCTCCATCTCACTGGGCGGGGGGAGTGAGCAAATGGCTGTGTGGTTGTTTTAGCTGCCTGCCAGGCTAAACCACAACAATATCCTGTGCCAACTTACGTTAAACTTGCCCAGCAATTGGGTCATTACAAAAATTTGCTGACAGCTCCATTTAACGTCCTGGAAATGTTCCAATACATTTTGTCTAAACTTGAGTTAATCTGGAGCATATGGTTCTTTTGCAAAAGCAAATTATCATCTTTGAAATGAATTCTGCATTATGATTTTAGTTTCCCCGTGAGCAAAACCTTTATCTGCATTTACCTGTCTTTAAAGAATTTGAAGACTAAGTTTGTACCCAGGAAGCTAAGCACAGAAAACTAAGAATCTATGTACTGCAAAAGCACAAAGGCAAGACAAAACACAGCCCTGATATGGCATGATAGCTGTGGTTACCTGCTTGCATTGGAGGAATCCATTGGTGCATGGTATACGCTCTCGGTGATTCTTTGGTGCAGTTGACTTGCTTCTGTTAAAGAAAAAGTAAAAAGAAATTGCACCAAATTGTGTAAGTTGCTTCTTTGTTTGCACAGAAGGTGGGAGGGAGAGAAATAGGAAAGGAGAGATTTTGACTGCTGTTGCAATCAAAACAGAATACTCATACTCGAAGAGAAAGGCACAAGGTGATCTTAAAGGCTGAAAACTTAGCTTACCTAAACAGCTCTTCTACCCATACGTTTTCAGTGCAGAAGAGATTTCTTTCCCT